ATATATAGATGAAAACGTACTGAAATATGGATCAAATATATACAAATGTACATTTAGTGACAATTACATTTTTTTATATAGATTTTGTGATTTTATCGCGCAAAATTTGGATGAGTTTAAATTAAAGAGAGCCTTCGGCTATATCTATTTTTTACGAATAAATGAGTTGAGGGGGGGGTGGGATATGTTGTTTTTTATTGATTGGTATGGTAACTTCACTCCCTTCCAGACAACATCGCGCGTTGTCAGCAATCATCGCGTTCGCCTCTAAATTTTGTGCCAGCTGTTGGCGTGCATCGGCGGGTTCCGTCGTGTTCCGGTGCCTGTCGGCGTGGGATGGGTTCGAGGAGCTCATCCAGTTCTGTGGGGTCTATCGGTGCGAGTGGCGATTGAATACCGCCTATGTATAAACCCAAGCCTTTCAACATATCTCGCCCCACTATGATGTCTATACCTGCAGGTAAATTCATCAACTCAAGAGACCCGTCGATGATCTTGGTTCCATACTGAATGGCTACTGTGCTTGAAGTCTTCCGTAAGTATCATGTTGATATGTACCTCTGTAGCCTCTGATGGTGGTACAAAGGCGTCGTCCCGTGTAATCGCATTCACCTGTACTTGAGGAATCGGTCGCATAGTTACCAAATTGCTACTCGGGGTGTTGTTCTGCCCCTGTCTTGAGGTTGGAGCTGCGGTCGGTCTGTGTGCCGGTTGTGCGTCTCGTGATGTACGGTTATTGCCGTACAGGCGCGCCCGACCATCCATACCCCCTGATGGCGACGCACGGAAATGATGACAGAGCGGAATATGACGTGAACCTGGTGGTGCTTATGCCTGACATCCAGCACAGGTGGTAGGTGGTGACGGTTGGGGTTATTGTGTCCAGTTCTGCGACTGTCGTCGAACCGTCTGCGGGTTAGGGCGGCTATTGGTAAAGTCACGAGTCCTGTTACTCAATAGACCCTCCCGATTATTACGGTTCTGGAGACGCGCCGTGGTGCGCTGCTGTGCGTCCTGAATGTCGGGGCTCAACAGCTACAGAAACTCGTGCGTCTTCCATGAGCCTCTAGACGCGCCTGTTGTTGCCCCTCCAGAACCTGCCCTGTGTGTGGACTAGTGCGGTCCGGATTAGATTGGCGACGCTTAGTCCCACGTCGGTCAATATCATCTTATTTGCGACGTAGAGGGCTCAGGTGTTACTGTCTACGACTTTGGCGGGGGTTGGACATGGTGGAGGAAGTATGTTTCAACAGAGATCTTGAAATGTGTGCGAACGAACTCGGAAAGAATTGAATATAAATATACATTTCCTTACTAGAGTCCATTCCTCAAACATATGACGTCTCGACGATGATACTCGAGGAACCAGTGGGATCACTCTTGATTACTTTATTTCACTCACCGACCCTAGTTGTATAGTGAGTCGAGACTCATCTATCACTAATTGACGTCTTACTCTCCTTCGAATAAATACCTCGTTGAGGTATACCCCACTTATCGGAACATCCCTTCAACCTTCTCGTCGGCTGCTCCTGCTCCGACATGGGGTCAGCCTAGCCTCGGTACATCGTCGCGTACTCTATCTATCGCTCCTGATTGCTCTTCTTACTCCCCTGACTTCGTGTCCTCTACTTGTGATGGCCTTGTCATGTGCCATTGCGGTTGTTGGATTATGTTCCTCGACCTATGACATATTGTTAGTTGTTGCGCTCATAAACTACGCCGCAGCAAGTTACGCCCTCTGTGCGTGCTCCTGAGCGTCTCCGTTTACCTGATTTATCTAGAAGTTCTAGTGATTTGTGTGTGTTCGCATATCCTTTTCACAATTTAACCATGTACTACTTACACCGCTCGTGTTATGACGCCCCCCACCCTTATATGCTCCTAAAGAGGCTCACGAATGCTTACTTATGTCTCTGTGTTCTTCCCTATATCCTCTTCCGTCGACCAATCTTATCCAATTCACCCTTTGTACAATTCTGGTCGTAGTTGACTTCACTTGGATAGTTATATCCTCTCAACTTTGTCGCTGCCTATTGCAGCCTAATCTTAAGTAAATTATTCTAAATAAACATTCTTGTCTATTCGTCTATAAGTTGTAAACACAATAAATAATCCTATTCGTCTATAAGTTGTAAACACAACAAATAATCCTATTCGTCTATAAGTTGTAAACACAATAAATAATCCTTTCAGAACCCTAACTCATACTTCGTTGTATATGGGCGCCATTGGATGTACATGTCTTGCCATTCAATTTCCTATTTCTTAAATCATCGGTCTGCCCACGTCCTTGGTACACGTTATGCATTCCTTTTAACGTGTTGCCTGATATATATTTACACCGCTGTGTCTTTTACCTATCCCATCCTTAATACAGTGTACTTGTGTTTTGATCATTGCTTAGTACCTATGATCTTCAGCATCGACTGTTTGTGTACACTGCTTTGTCAACTGACGTGTGCACTGCGTAACCTTGTCTGCTCTATGTAAAAATATTATTGTAACCTTGTAAAATAATATAGTATGCTACTGATTCTTTGTGTCGTAGTACTAGACGAGTCGGCACTAACCATGTACACCTCCCATTTCTACTACTGTAGATCCCAAAGAGCCTTCTTCTTTTCTTCTAACAACTCTTAACTATAGTTTAAGCTTATTGCTACTTTTGCATACTCTATTTGTACTTGTCTCACACGAAAACAACCTTCCTACCTGCTCTCACACGAAAACAACTTTCCTACCTGCTCTCACACGTGACTACTTATTTGTGTTTTCTGGCTGATTCTCTGTTTTCGTCATTTGATCGTCTTGGGTGGGCTAATGATGTACTTGATTGCGGTGATTTGTATGCCTATGTGCAATCTTTAGTCTCGTGGGTTGGGAAGTAAAGAATAAGGTGTGTAAACAACATCATTTACATTTATAACAAGGTTTCTTCATCAGTGTGTGCATTCACAATGTCTACCATCTTTATCATGTTAGCTTCCGACCACCAAGTTTTTCATATTTCGTCACCCATCACTTGCACCTTGTTGCCATCTGTAATGGCTAACTGGTCGATATGGACGGGTTGGGTTTGCTGCGATGCTCGAGCTGCTGCTTTCAGACGGTTACTTTTGTCTTTCTTAGGGCACTTGCTGAGCGCACGTGGCGAAGGGTTTATACCACAGTGTGGGCAAGGCGTTGGTCCTCGCAGTGATGGGGTGTCAGGACCCTGTCCTATGGGACGGCCTCTGCCTTGTCCTCCTTGTTGTCCACCCCCTCTGGGGTGCCCCCGCCCCCCCCCCTCCTTCTGGGTGGACCCCCTGGAGGTATGTTCACTCTTGAACGAGTGCCTCTTAGGTCGGGGACGGGTGCGGTGCTCACTCGCTTGTTGTCACGTTTGCGATTAGCCTGTGTTATGGTTGCTTATCTGACTGTCTATATACAGTTTGTTGTTGTTGGCATTGATGTCGTGTTTAGGACTATCTGTTGTTCTTGTGTATTGTGATGCTTGGGGTTATAAGTTATTGCAATGTTTGGCGTTGCAAATTATGGAGCCTATTTGTAGTTGGGGTTTGCTGTGCGCTGCTTTTGAGGCCCTGCGCTTCGTATTTGCGTCTGATGTCTTTGCTACTTGCGATTGTGCATCGAAATCTTGAATGTCTATGTCCATGGGCTGTGGACTGTGTTCTTGTGATTGCTATTGATGAATAGAATGCTTACGTCCATGGATTTGTGAAGTGTGTTCTTGTAATTGAATGGCCCTGGAATATGGACTAGGCTTCCGTGGTTCTCACTGTTGCCAAACTAAGGTGATTGTGTACCCTAATGCTGGACGTCAATGTCCTTGGATTGTGGACCGTGTTTCCGATAATATTCTATGGTCCTGCAAAGAATAATCCATAGTCCTGCAGAGAACAATCGATGATCCTGCAGAGAATAATCGATAGTCCTGCAGAGAATATTCGATAGTCCTGCAGAGAATAATTGATGGTCCTACAGAGAACAACCCATAGTCCTACAGAGAATCGATGATCCTGCAGAAAGCAATCGATAGTCTTGCAAAGAATAACCGATAGTCCTGTAGGAAATAACTGATAGTCTGCAAAGAATTAATCGATGGCCCAAAACCCCTGTAACGTCTGGATTCCTTGGTACAATGAAACAGTTTCCACTTTAGCATGGCCTATCAATATACTTATGTGTTGAACTTGGAGGAGTATATTTATAGGGCAAGCATAGAAAACTTATTTCATGAATTGGGGAGGGTGTCAACATACGCCCGAAGCTCAGCGATCTGTGGTAAAGTTTCTAGCGTTGTAGGTCCTGTCAGGGTCTTGTAAACGTCGGACATCTCGTGAATATCTGCCATCGTCGCAATCGTGTCGGGTGTACCTATTTACTCGGTATTCCGGTCAGTCATACTTTCCGTAATTTTCGTAGCGGCATTGACAGCGGTTGTTGCTGTTGTATCTTTTAGCCAACCCTGCCAAAGCCACACCTTGCTCCACTCACAATTTTCCACCCTAAACGTGTCGACTCGATAATTCGCAGACTTGCTAGCACGATCCCAAACCCGACGAAAGCGAGAACCACATATCGTCTCGCCTGAAACATTTTCTTATACACACACTCAACCCACGAGCAACTCAAATCGGTACAATATGAACGGACATCAAATTCCGCCACGTACTCATTCATCTCACCTTGAAGGGAAAATATATAAAATCTACCTAACCTCACACCGACTGGTTTCAATACCTAGTAATGTTCAGTTTAATTTGGTTTATTATAATCGCATGTCGCAATCCCAATGTACTTTATGCAAGCGATCAAGGGGAATTTGAACATCTGTAACCTGGACAGTATCTCATACGAAGATGTAATATACACTTGGTAGGTGTATTATACAGCGCTAATATATTCCCTTTTTAGTTTTCTAGACAGCCCCCTCTTTTTGAAATTGCCATTGGTAATATGTAGAAACAGGCATAAAAGTAATGGACACAAAGTTTCGAAATGTCGAGATAGGAGAGCAAATAAAGACCCGATCAGCAAGCGACATGAGTAGAATACAGTAACAGATCCCAGCCTGATCTTTTCGTATGGTCTAGCTACAGATCTAGGGCTGAAATGAATACGTACAACATCTATGAGACTTGCCGAATAAAGCATGGCTAATGGTGTGATGACACTGCACGAAGTGACCTTTTTACCATCGATGTCAATATTTTGATGTGGATTGTCGACGGTGTCTGTTGTAACGATCTCTCCTTAGCGATATTCAGTATATTTTTAAACTTTTGAGTATTGGCACATCACCCGTTTTACGGAAAGTTCTGTTGTCGATTGCAGGCCGAATTGAGTACATGTTACCTATCGCAAATGTCAAATGCCGGTGATGGACAGCCGTTGTGTGATTACATTCAAAAATTTTGCGCGAAACCAGCTTGTTTCTCACCATGTACTCATCGTGGGGCTGAATGAGATAATGGCATTATCTTGTGTGTCTAAGCAATACCTACTCCCTTCCACCTATCAATACCTTCGATTACGGACACGGTAAATAATGGCCTACTCAACATGGCGGACTTCGGCTATCTCTATATGCCTAGATTGGACATCAATTTTGAAATTTTGAAAAGCCTTGCACATGCTTCATAATAATCGTTTTATTCTCATCGCCTGCTCTTCAAATATATTCCCTTTTGCTGCCTAAAGCCATCAATAAGTCATGGCTTCATTAGCCTTCAGTTTTGCCATCCAAAAAGATCACAGATTTTCGGACCCTAAGGTCTGATGAACTTTTCCTCACAATCGCGCCGTTGAGAAATCTTTCGTCCTCAAACAAGCTATTAGTGCTGGTAGTGTCTATATCCCGTGTGATTAACGACAACCAAGCCTCAGGTCAACACAAAAGTCGTGGTACCCAGATAGTGTGATTAGGTAGGTTTAAGTGGTTTGCCGATTAGTACTACAAACCGATTTAAGCACACATGTTATATAAACAAGTTGTTCAATAAATAATCACCGATTCCTCTCTCACAAGGAGTACGTTGAAATTTTTCGATTAAAATTTACCACAAATCACTGGCTTCAGGCGTATGTTGACACCCTCCCCAATTGAAGAACGAAGTTTCAATGCTTGCCCTTGCCCTATAGAAATACTCCTCCAATTTCGAATCATAAGTACATTGATAAGCCCCGCCATACTCTTCCATTATACAGTGGAAACCCTAAAACCATGGAATCCAGACGTTACAAGGGGTAAAATATCAGTTGAATCTGTATCCGGCATTTATACATGATGCGATTTGTAGGACAATCTTCAATGCCGTAAGCATACGGAAGTGAAAGAAGTGCGTGCAAACACCATTTTACATATATAGGACATCCATATCAGCTGTAAAACATGGGTCAGGTCGTACGATCTAGTTGCCCTAATTTGAAAGGGGGTTTCCGCGGTTGCCTGAACTTTTTCTGTATTATGTGTGCTAGTGTCGTATGAGCGCTTCTTAATATAACTACGGCTCTCAAATCTGCACTGGATGTAACCGAGGTAATTAGTCACCGCAGTACGAAATTGTTAAAATGAGGATTAGTACAGGACCATATTTTTGTAATCCATTTATTGCGTTTTCCCAACTGTTCAACTTTGACTGGAGCTTTAGTCATTGCTTGCACTATACAAGCCAAACGTGAGTAGCGGTAGGCTATTGGAAGTGGCGTACCTATCATCTGCCCGGGGTATAATTGTTATGTGTAGTAATCCCAGATATCTATAGAACGAGTAGAGAAGTCACATACGCCTCGAGCTCTTTTTGTTTGATGTGTACTCACAACAATCGCCAAGGGAGACTTCTAGAAGTATTTGACATTATCTGATACGCAATTTCTGATGCTATTACATACCCGCATGCCCGCAGCAGCTTCCCACACTAACAGGTATACAAGTGTATACTCGAAGCACAAACATATATATTCAAACTCGAATACAACTGATTGTACATGCAAGTCGTAGACGTCCTCAAGGGGCCGACTGGGATTTGGGTAAACTTTGACGGTCTAAGTGATGGAATATCGAGTCGTAGGTGATCCCACTCATTCTGGTCAGCCCTATCTCACAGGTACGACTGTTGGACATTCCTGTGCCACATCCCTCAATGGCCGCGTTAAGTGTTTTCAGAGCCGCACTAAATATTAAATATGAATATAGCTTACGTCAATAATATTGTATCAGAACGGTACTTCATGTATCAGTTATGTCACAAGTAAATCGAATGTTGAACAATAATATATATATATATATAATATATATAGTAATATTATATAGTAACACACACACACACACATATATATATATATATACATATATTTACATATATTTACATATATATATATACATCGAATGCCATTCACACAGTGTCGGATGTGACGAAGAGGGAGTGATGCGTTGCGACACCGGGAATCCAAAACAAAATTTGCATGCGAAATCCACAGATTTAATAGGAATAAAATATTCAGCCCCTACAAAGAATGAATAATTTCAGAAAAGCGCACACCATAGTATTCATACAAGGTACAAAAATAGATAGCGAAATGAATATAGCACGAGGTATACATATACGCTTTAGAAAAGTATATCAGAACGAACGATGAAACTCCCACTAATTCTATAGGAAATATGATTCATATAAAATTGGTGGAAGTAGAAATAGGTTTGACCTGATAGTTTTGAAGATTTCTCAATCAACCGTGGCAAATTGAGAAACACATAGATGGCCGCAAACATGAATGAATATAGATCCCAATATACACAACAGACAAACACTTACGCATTTAATTCGGGTTGCGTGAATCCCTTGCTGCCAGCAAAGCCACAACACGTCACTTCAGCGGGGATGACGACCTTGGATGATATGGCCTCTGCGACAGCCTTCATGGCATTGTCCAGCCCTTGCTTTTGCGTTGAGCATGTTATATGCAAAGCCAGAGGCTCAGACGACTTTTTAATCGTTAGCCTGTCTAGCAGAAACTTGTGCGCGAACTGAGCCTGTTTGTATGTGTTGGTGAGCAGCATGCAATTTATAAGAGATCCAATTGCATAATATATACAATATCTGGTAGTATATTAGACGAGCACTTCTGAACCTCACTCAGTTCTGAGGCAAAGATCACATGTAAGAGCTCAGTGGTAGCCATCGAGACGAATGTTGTTGACTCGCAGCCGTAATTAGAGATCTGATATCGGAAGACAAGAAACGTGGCCAGAAGGAATAAACGAATAGGGCCCACGTCACGGCCAACTGACTTCTGCAATTCGCACTAAACGACTATTAGAATCGATTCTTGGCAGTAGACTCACATTTATGAACAAATATTTGGAAAATATGGAAAATACGGGAGAGAGTGAGAGAGAGAGATATATATATATATAGAGATTTATTATATATATATATAACACATTGATACATAGATATACATATATAATATATATATATATATATATATATATACACATATATAGTTATGAAATATATATATTTATTATATCCATATATAATGTATATAGCAGTACACACACACACACATATATATATATATATACAGATATATACATAGAAATATAGAAATATATATATATATATACATGCATATATATATATATATACATACATACATATATATATATATATATACATACATATACTATATATATACATATACATATGTATATGCTGCATATAGATATAGATATAGATTAGATATAGATATATATCTACATATATATACAGACACATTTATGATAAAAAACAAAAAAATAAATAAAATGTACTGGAACTTTGAGATTGTTACCTGATCATACACTTGGATTCTATCATCTACAACTCCTCTGCCTTCAAATTTTGGGTCGGCGCGTAGCGCGCAAGGTGATGTATCACAGACGACAGGATATTTGCCATTTTCAGAGGCCTCTAGAAGGGCCTTGTTAAGCTCGCTCAATTTGTCATTTCCGTTGGCGTGGAAACCCAACGATCCCCAAGGCTGTCCACAGCAGAGCGCACCAGGGTTCTATATATATGAAGAAAATAACCAAGAACTATATATGTATAAGGAGATGGACCAAAGTTTGCACACAGATCAGAGGCAAACGTGCGTCGTAAAAAAATACGGAGAGAAATCGAATATGGCTAGACTGAGATGAAGGCGTACAGGCCCCTGCGAATTATTTGTGTAATTCAGTATACATCTCCTGTGTAAGAGTCTGCGAGTGAAATCAACAAACATCGAAAGAATACATGTATTGATATCGCAATATCGCTACATTGGATAGCTTCATCTGATAAGACTATACCAGCACAGTGACAAAAATGGACCAACTATAAAAACCCAACACCACCTTGGTTAAACTTAGTTTAGACACGCTCACAAACGTGTTGCATCACTGATATTCTGATGATGGATCAAGTGTCGCAATCTTTTACGGTTGTGCGTGGTGGAAACAAAAACGGTCTCAGGCGAGGAATTTACCCAGAAGCTACATCACATTGATAATAGTGTATGGCAATCAGCTTCAAACAGGCAACATACGTGCATGGGCACAAATGTATATTCATAAGC